GCTATGGCATTTTTGATTCTGAATCAGTAGCTACAAAGAATTAACGGGGCCTAACTAACCCACTCTATATTTATACCTATGTGGGCAAAAGCTTAACAAAGTCTAGTAAATTGATAGAAAGCACATTACAAAAAATAGACTCAGTGACGATTTGCTTAATTAGTCACCAAAAGACAAATGTTGTTACAAGCAGCACTATTTTTAAAAATATCACATGCTAAATGTAGTGGATCCACGGGAAATACTCATATAGAGATATGATGTAAGCACAGTCATTACGTTTGCCACTAAATAGTTCTAACACCTGAAATATAAAGAAGTCAAGATAAAACAATGGGAAGGTGAGATAAAGACTCGAAAGAGGAGAGATGACAAGAAGATGAAAAAAACCCAAACAGATGAAATGGTGGTAATAGCATATACAGTGTATTATGCAATAAAGGGAACTTATCAATAGTATAAAGATTTTAAAATCTTTGTCAAGCCACATAAAATTTATTTTTTTCAAAGCTTGTACAGGACTGGGGAAAAAAAAAAGATAACTTCATAGGAAATTGAGCAAAAATGTAATAACTTATCAATATGCTAAAGCTAAGTATTAAAGACTATAAAAGATGCAAAAAACCCTAACTGCTTGCATATCAAGCTGCACTTGGAAAGGAATGGTAGCCTACAAATCAACAGTGATGATTATGTCCTCTTACTCTTTACAAAAACACATCTCTTCTCATTCCTGTGCTGAACTCCAGTAGCTCCTATTTAAAAGAAGAAACAACAAACCAACATTTACAGGAGGCTTTTCAGGGGAACAAAATCACAGAATCATCGAATGGTTTGGGTTGAAAGAGACCTTAAAGATCATCTTATTCCAACTCCCTGTCATGGGCAGGAACAGCTTCCACTATACCAGGTTGTTCAGGGTCCCATCCAACCTGGCCTTGAACACAGAGGTTTGGAGCATTCACAGTTTTAACACTTCCAGAGTTGGAGCATCCACAGTTTTCTGGGTAATCTCTTCATGGCATGGTAGCTGTGAACCTGAACAAAGGCATCCACAGAGGCTGTGACAAGAGGAAAAACATGAAGTGCAAAAGTAGACACTTTGAATGATGTACTAGGAAGTGAAATGAGACAAATTGTGAGCAGATGGAGTGACTTAACAGCACTGTGCCATTCCCCTTCTACAGTGTACATTTTCTGACTGAGTTTTCTATTTAATGGATGGTTTCAGGTTTTGGTCTCTGGCTTCCAGACAGTAATTCATCTCACCTCAGAATCTCAAGTGATGGAGGACTCAGCATTTGGCAGCCAAGTGACTCTAAAACGTTGCCAGGACAGAGGCTACTTCTGCAAAACTTCAATCATTTACCTCTGAGGTGGTCTTCTTAGACCTTCCTCAACGTCAATAAAGAAAAATAAGCAGTTTCAGAGAATGATTCATTTAACATATTTCAAAAGTCTACTCTGTGTTGAAATCAATTCCTATCCAAAAATGCCTATTTCTTTTCACTGACCATTGAGGCAGCTTAGAATGACTAGCTCAAATACCCATGTCTAGACTGTATCCCACGCCTGCATTCCTTTGACAAATCCCACCCAAGATGTCAAAAACTGAGAGGGGAAAGTATCAAACTGTCTGGTTATACGAGAAGAAACAAGAAAAAAAATGCTGGGCCTTTTATGAACTGTATGGACATTTATAAAAGATAACTATTAATATAAAACAACATGCATACCTTTGGATGCAAAAAACCCCCTATATTTGGGGGATGTTAAAGAAGCAAGAGCAACTCTAGATTGCCTGAAAAAAAATATTCATTGTCACTTTGATCTTTGGCTTCATCTGTAAAAAATCAAGCAAAAACAGAATAGAAAAAAAAAAAAAGAGCAAAAATGCAAACCACTACCCCTCCTGTGATTGCTCCCAATTTCAATATCTATTCCCATGTTCTGTTCAATAGATCATAAGATTACCAGGAAATTTCTAAAGACAATTTTCAACATATGAGAAAAATCTGCTTTATATTTTCAGATTTATAATGATTTCCTGGTTTGTTTTTTTCATTGATTTTTTTCCCCCTGAATTAATCCCTTGGAAATATTGAACTTTTTTCATTTGTTTGGGGTTTTGGGTTTGTTTTTTTTTTTTTTTTTTTCAAAAAATATTTTTTTTTCAGATTTTTTTTCAACTCCTTGGCTAGATCAAGGTTACTATGGAAGTGGGAACTGAAAAAGGAAAATACCATCACTGTTGATAATATTGATTTATCAAGACTAGACAAATAGCAGTGCCACCTTCTGCTCAGGCTTTTTAACTACAGAAACTCCTAAGGGCTAGACTGGTCCATCATTTATGTTTTTTTACAGTGGAATTACTTTCTGTAACTGACACAATGTAGACCAAAAAAAAAGTTTAAAAGTAAAATTATAACCAAATAGCTGTGAATGAGTGAGATCACTATCTTTCATTTCAATCTTATTTTTTCATGCAAACTATTCCAATCATGGAAATGAGAAATTTAAAAATGTTTTAAAGTTAAAGAATAAAGTGGGAAAGCAACTGATTTCACAGTCCTTTGCTTTGTTACATTATATTGGAATGTATCAGTTGCACTTGAGCTTTCTGTATGCACACTCACTCACAACACACATATGAAATGGACTTGAAGACTGAGGTATTCCTGAAATTTATGATTTGTTCTCCTACAGAAAATAATTACAGAATAATAACACATACAGATTAACTACAAATACAGAATAGTTTCAGAAAATAATATTATTTCCAGATGAATTGATAAAGGGCACACAAAATATTAGCATATCTTATTTGGAGGAAATGTTTGTGCTGACATGTTTAGTAATGTATCCAGAAGCTCATATTGTAGGGATAGTGAGATCCGTCTCCACAAGAACTTTATAACCCCTCAGGAAATCTTGGAGTCTGATTTCATTCATGTGTCAGGCTGCTGCAGGGCACCTGCTAGGACTGAGCCCACCACCACAAATGTCAGGATAGGAAGGTGCATCTAGCCCACACATCAGGCCCTGGTGAGGACTTCCCTGCTCTACCCCAAGCCCTTGCCCCTGTCAACAAGTGTGGGGCAAATGGGACTAAGAAGGAAAAAGTTAGTATATCCTTTGGGAAGCAACGGCCATTTGTAAGAGTGGGGATGTATTTCCAACTTGTAACAACTAACTACCTTACTCTTGTATTACCCAACAGATAACCACTGCTTAATTCATTTATTCTTTCAAATGTCCCCTGTGTTACACACATGTACACATAGACACACAAGTCTATTACAAAGCTTTCTGTTGAGATCATTACCAGTGAAAAAAGTCTTACAGGGCCTCTTGGAGACATTACTCTAGAAAGCTGGAATTTTAGATTCCCCATCCCTCTTGTAAAATGATTACAACATTCCAGCAATATATGAGTCCCTAAATGTAGGATTCATGCTAATTGTTAAAGCTACCTGACAGTGAGGCTTCTAATTCAACCACCTCAGGTACCTGAAAGAAGAGAAGTCATTCAGTGGGTGAGTTGCTTCATCTTAAGATACAATATAAGCTGATTCAATATAAGCTGAGTGGATCAAGGGTTGGACTTGATGATCTCAGAGGTGTTTTCAACCCAACTGATTCTATGATTCTATTCTATGATTCTATTCCATGATTCTATGAAAAAATGTGGAAAAAAATTTAATCTTTATTGCCACCCTGAGGTCACTCCGCCAGCTCCAGCACATTCTCAGGCGGCGCGCGGCCCGGCACAGGGGCGGTGCTGGGGGAGCGGACACCCGCCCACACGACAGCAGCGACAGCCCCCGGAGGGGCCGGGCCGGGCCCGCCGGCACACCCACACTCAGCAGCCTCCGGCCGGGCGGCGGAGCGGAGCCGAGGCTGCCTCTGCCAGGCCCGCCCACAGCCACCTCCCCCGGGCACGGCCCCCCCCCGGGCACGGCCCCCCCCGGGCTCGGCCCTCCCCCGCAGCCGCGGCCTCTCCGGGCGGTCGGGGCGCCCCGGGGTCCCCGCACGCGCCAGGCCCGCGCTGCGCAGGCGCGCGGGGGCGGTGCCAAGGCCGGGCGGCACCGCCGCGACCTCCCGATCCCGACCCGCCGGCAGCCGCTGCTGCCCGCCGCTGGGGCTGTCTCCGGGGCCGCTGACGGGGGAGGTGGGGACGAGACGGGCAGGGTGCCGCCTCTGCCTTGCGTAGGCCGCGTTAGAACCCCCTCCCGGAGGGGCTGGGGCAGGAGCCTACCGGGAGGGAGACAGAGAAAGACAGGGGTCGGGGTTGAGGTTGAGGTTGTTGAGTGCGAAGGGACGTGTCCCGCGTAGGGAGCGCCCGCCTGCTGTGAGTTTGACAGGCACAGGGACTGCCCCTGGCGCTGTGCTCCCGCGGTTGTCACTGGACGTTCAGTGCTCGTTATCTTTCAAGAACTTGTCTCGCCTTTCAGCTCTTTTCTGCCTGTTTGTATTGGCTGTTTGCTGAGCAGGAGTGGGGACAGGAAAAACCCAACTGCAGCGTAGATCTGATCTCATAGCACACGAGATGAAACAGAAAATCTCTAACTCGGTTACTTGGTTGGGATGAAGTTGGAAGTTGGCACAGTTCCACTCAGACCTGGTCTGCTCAGGGTCACACCGGTTCTGTTTGTACTGGGCTTATCGAGAACTTCCTTTTCGTCTAAAAGATAATTCTTTATGGTCAAAGCCTTGCTAGGTGTAAACCAGTCTTACACTGGGTTTGTGAGTAACCCCTACTATATCCTTGTAGCATAGAAGATTACAAGGCTTGTCGTGTACCAGCCAGCCTGCTGTGGGTTTTTTCTTACTGGAGTCTTGACATCAGTACTTTGTGTTTTGTGAACAAGTTGGTTGAAGTTGCAGGATCACTCCTTCAGCGTTTTTCACCAGAAGTTGAAGGGGACATGTATAATTAAAAACATGTATTCATGTTTTTAATTATAAGGGACAGTTTGTTCGCTTGCTTTTTGCATTATTTACAGTTTTAATCCTTCCTGTTTCTGAAATGAACGATTGACTTCATGGACAGCAGTGAACAACAGGGTTTCAGAGGGGGGCTGGTGAAAGCAAGAGAGAAGCTACTGAACAGAAGTTCTCCTTGGAACTGTTCCATTGTCTAGTGAATCAGCTGTTAATGCATTTGTGTGTTTTAAGTGAGAGGGGTGTAAGAGGACCTTGCTACAGTATCAGGGCCTTAATGTGCAATTTACCGTTCAACTACACTTTTTTTTTTCTTTAATGTCTTTTTAACAGGTTATACCTAGAAGAAAGTTTCTGCTATTTGCTTCTATGGAATCCAAGCTCATGTACTGATGCTTCCTTTGTAACCTTATGGTAGAACAGACTATCAGTTTGGTTACCACATCATCTGGATCCAGACGTCACTTTTAAGAAAATGTGGACTGCTAAAATTCTTTATAGTGCTCAAATACTGTTGCCACGGTTGAAAGAAGGCCGACTGTATAGTTACACCTTTCCCAAAACTTATCACTTCTGGATTGGAATTCCAAACTCTTGCACTGTAAGACCACCACGTACCAGAGTTAAATTCCAGGTAAGTATTTTTGTGATGCTCTGTAGATATAAGTGATGTGCTTCAATACACTGAAAAAATAATTTATTTTAGAATCTACAGAACTAAAGTTTTGATCTTGCATGTTATTTATGAAGTGAAGATGCCTTCAGTTTTATATAAAGGGGCAGGCAGCAGCAAGTACTGGAGTACCATCGTTTCAGAAGAAACTTTGTGTCTTATAGTTTTAAGTTGGGAAGAAATGGTAATTTTCTTCAAATTACGCTCCAGGCAATACTGCATGGTAACTGACAGGCTGATTAGTTAGAGTGACAGTCCTTTAGATAAAAATAGGACCAGAATTCTCTGGAAAATGACTTACTGATGCAATATTGTGCAACAAAGGTGGGGGGAATGGATTGGTAGGGGAGGATAAAAACATAAGAGTTTGATTGTAAAAAACTCCATATATATATATATATATATGGGTTTATATATGTCTTTGCCGATACCATCCAAGGTGCCTTTTGCAACCAGACATGTCTATCTTGCATTGGCCTCTTCAGCCACCAGCGTGCTTGTAGCAAATGTGGGTAGAGTCCTTCCCAAATCTTCGTTCATGAAGCCTAGCCATGATAAACAAAAATAGTGGGAAAAGACATAAAACTAATTTTGGACACTCATTGTTCCAAGTGGCAATGTTTTCCCTTTTCAATGTCTGATGAAATTCATCTTTAAAATATAAATTGCTGCATGTGTAGCTAGCAGAACATTGTGGTGTAAACTAGTTTAGTGGGGGCTAAGCAATTGAGAAATTCATCTAGATGATTTTACAACTATTTTATTTGACTTTATTAATCTGTTTAGTGTTAAATAATGTCATATTTGCTGTTGTTTCTCTTTTTAATAATAATATTTGACTATATGATTGTAGGTTTCCAAGGTGAATGATAAACAATCAGTAGTTGATAGAAGAACGGCTGCTAGCGCAGAGGGAACTAAAATACCTGTTGGAAAAAGTTCCGGTGGAGTACATGATGGAAGTCATCATTCATTAGAAGGTATTGAACCTTTTGCTGCCCTCTTCTTGAGAAGTCAGCCTTCCTTGCCCAATGTAGTCAACTTGTATTAAGGGTCAAGATGGTCTAAAATCTTAATTTGAAAAATATCATGTGATGTGTTTAATTTTAAGGAGATTATATGCAATTTTTATAGTCTGTGAAGACATATAATTTTCCTGTTTCTTAATGGATGGTTAGATTGTGTACTTATTATTTTGTGTTATTATTATTTTAATGTTTTTTGCTTCAATTTCATCGAACTATTATATTCACTGAAGACTATAAATGGTTTGTGATGATGCTAGTGAACTTCCTGTTATAAATGTGAAAAAACAGTTAAACATTTCTGTGTCAATGTTGATTTTTGATTCAGGTAAATCAGTAGTTACACTTATGACCTCTATTTTAGCAATGCTGCCTAGCTAGAGAGTTCTTTCTGCGGCTTTGCTGGTTTTGTCATTCTTTGCTAATAACTAATCCTCAACTGTGCTGTTATGCATCATACTTTTTAGCTCCTGTGCTTCAGGGTATTTGGTCATTTGCATTCTATGTATATTTAGTTTTTGTTTGTAAAGGTTTTTTTATTCCGGTGCTTTGGGCATTTTCAGCTTTTGTTTACAAATGGAATGACAGGGAGGTAGTTATGACAGGTTAAGACCCTGAGATCATACAGTGTTTATGTAATTATGTTGCTCAGGAAACAGCCACATGAGAAACTGTTGTACTATTTCTTGTGTATGACAATCAGGAAGACAATACTTGTCCTGAAAAATCTGTATGGTACTGTATCGTAATTCCTCTGTATAGTCTTGTCTCCTTACATATGTTCTCTTGAAGATTTGCATTACAGATGGATGAGATACTGCTGAACAAACAGAAATGCCCCCAACCCCCAGTAGATTTTTAATCATCGGTGAATTTTTTTAATTTTTTTTTTCCCCTGCAGATGTGGTAATCTTTTCAAGAGAACTCTGAGGTTTATGTTTATTCCTGAATGCTCCTGCGTTATCTGTGAAGTAATGAGATTGAACTGCCCCAGTGTTGTTCTCATTTCTTCTTTTACATATCTTGTCTTACGCTTCTGTTTGTTTTTTTTTCTTGGAGACAACAGAAGCATTTCTATTCCCTTAGCCAGTTGAAGTCCTCATAGTGTGGATTTTGCCAATCACATAAAATGACAGCATTTTTGAAAAGCAGTGGCAAAAGTGTTTGCTATATCCTGTTTATGTCATATCTCTACAGTATATGTACTGTCCAGCTGAAATGTACCTATGCATCTTTTAAGATTCAATTAGGTTTTTTCTTAAGACATGGTAATATGATAATTTTGCATTATAGGTATCAATATCTTTAATGGTCACAATTTATGTTGAACCTTCTAAGAATATTTGTTCTGAAGTCTTGTAGAACATTTCTAAGATACAAAGATTTCTGCTTTTTGCACAGGCAGCTCAAAGATGTGGTCTGTGTCTAGACATGACTGTGCTCCTATTTCTGTTACTCTATAAGAAATTGTCAGGGAATAGTCATACTGCAGACTTAATTAAATTTCTCTCTGTTTCCTCTTTGGAGTTATTATAACCCTACTATTCTTTTTGATCAAAATAGCAGTGATCTACCAGATCATCAAAGCAAAAGACATTTTAGCATCATTCTGTCTTTAAAGTACACCATTATAATTTGCAAATCAAGTGATGCCATGGCATATTTGCAAGAATCAAAAGAAATGGGAAAGTTTATATTCTTATAAAAGTGTTTTCGAACAGTGTTCCTTGACTTGAAATCTTAGTGCTGTTTTTTCTTCTTGTGTATTTGTCTCTGAGTGTATTTGACTGAGTGCTTTTGTCAGTCAAATAACTGATGTGAATACTCATTCAATAATCTCTCTTTTTGTCTCTTGGGTAGGGAAATGAAGGAGGCAGAGAAGTATGGGATCTAAGTGTTAAGAAATTAACTCTCATCAAAGAGTGAATGAATGCCAGGTATCCAGACACTCAAAGAGAACAGTGGTTACTCCTGGTAACTGATAACTAGATAGGACTAAGGCTCATATAAGAAACTACAATTTCCTCATGAAGCCATGTAAGAGAAGGCATGGATATCTGACTTTAGTTAGTATATGTTTAGCAGTTTTTGGTCTGAGATTCAAATAGTTTCTTCAGTTCACATGGCCTCCTTTTCTGTTCTTACTTTAGACAAAATGTGCCAGCCAGTTCTGTATACAGTGAAGTGTGTTTCTATATTTGTAGAGAATTTTTTCTTTTTGAAAAAAATCTTTCAATCTAAAATTTTTTGCTGTAACTATGCTTTAGATACTTCCTAGTTCTCATATTTTTTTGATTTGTGAACATTTAATTATTTTCCAGAAGGGAAACAGACTTTTTGGAGTATTAGCCTTGTAGAAGATTTGGATGTGTGTATACCTGAACATAAGCATTCAAGTGCTTATTTTTATTTACATAACCCTATTCTCTTACACTGTGTTTCTTAGTTATATTTCATAGGTCCCTTAGATGTAGTTATTTGCATTTGCAAACTCATACTTCACGTATTTTTGACCAATCAGCAATGTAAATGTAGTCCTTATTTCACATAATGTTTCATATTAGTAGTGTCTTGACCTTGAAGTCTGTTTTGGACAGAAATGGGAGTTGATTCTCCCATGCTTGCTTTTATACCTGCCTAATACTGCACTTGCTTTAACCAGGTTCACTTTTTTGTCAGAGTGGCCTGTGATGCAAAGGCACCTTTGCTTCTAATTTGTAGAAAGCATGGAGAGAGCTGCAGCAGTTGGTTAAACTCCTGAGAGTTTAACTAGACTGAAAAAAAGCACATCATGACATCATACTTCAAAGTTCAAAGGCTGTTTTAGTTTTCTTCAACTCTATTTAAAAAAAATAAAATCAAAGTAGAGTTGTGTTTCTTTATATTCCAGTAACATCTTGAATAAACTTTTTTAAATCTTCTATTCAGTACAGTGACTTTTCTTTAAATTAAAAGATCCTTTCTTTTTAAAAATAATAAAGGAATTTTCATTTGCGTAATTCTAATGCCTTTCTCTCATATTGTCACAGCAAGAGCCAACCTCTAAAACTTTCCTATGAGTACAAGTGTGTTAGATTTGTTACAGGTATTCCTACTTACAAGTGTATATGCAAGTGTTTCCAGTGCAAAGGGGGTAAAGCACAGCTGCTAAACTACTTTATGATAGTGTAATGTTTTACTGGAATGACTGATGCACCAAATATTCCTTGGCACTATGATTTTCTCTCTCCCTGTCAGTGAAACCTGGTTAGACCATCAGGTCTGATTGTAATCATGCCATGGGTAAAGCAGCTGAGTTGAGCATGTCTTCTTATCTACTGGTTTTGAAAGCTGTTTCTTATCCTCATCTTTCCTGCGCTTCCCATTTCAGAGTTGAAGAGGCATCTTTAACCAAAATATGTTGCTGCACGTTTGCCTCTCTTCATCAGGACTGATTGTTTCCATATTGAGATGTACCCAAATATAGTAGGAGTTTATTTTTAATTCAATATTAAGATAATGTGTACAATATCTCATATATCTGTACACTATAATCTGTGGAATACCTTGCTGTCATAATTGTGGTTATTTGCAGAAACGGAAGAACTAATAAAACGTACAGCATTATATTTTAGTTAGTTAGTTAACCATCCTTAATGATGTGAACTAATGCTTCCTTGTTCACATTTTTTTTAATTTTAAATTCTATCCTAGACATCATACAATGTGTGTGTTTATACATTTAATGCTTTGTATTTTACTTTATTTTTGATTCCTTCTTATTTAAATAGTAGCAACAATATGTTGTGTGTTTTTCTTTTCTAAACTAGCAATTACTTTAAGAATTTGTCAATAATACTAGTAAGTAAATGAGTTTCAGAGGTGACAGAAAAAATTCCTTTTTTAGAGAATTATAATGGATTCAAGGCTCTGCGTGTGTAAGGGAAGTATGATCATGGAATCATAGAATACCCTGCGTTGGAAGGGACCTTAAAGATCATCCTGTTCCAACCCCCCTTCCATGGACAGGAGCACCTTTCACTAGACCAGGTTTTTCAGAGCTCCATCCAACCTGTCTTTGAACACTTCTGGGGATGGAGCATCCACAGTTCCCTGGGCAACCTGTTCCAGTGCCTCACCACCCTCACAGTAAAGAATTTTTTCCTAGTATCTAATCTGAATCTACTGTCTTTCAGTTTGAATCCATTCCCCTTGTCCTGTTACTACGTGATGAGACCGTAACCAGTGGTTTTATAATTAATTTGACTTTTTTAGTCAAGGTGGTTAGCAATGTTTGCTCTCCAAAGGCATTCTTTTATCACTTTTGACTGGCTACTTTTAGTTTGCAGTTATTTGACAAATTAGATGAAAATGTGTACATAAAGATATATATTTTTGACTGATTTAAAAAGGAATTTGTGCTAAGGATTATTTTAGGGTTGTTTTCAGTTTTGGAGGTACTAAACTAACTGCTGTTTGTTTGATGTATTTAGTAATCAAAAGTTTTTACTGCTTTTAAGTAAACTGCTTTTTGTTATGTAAATACGGTTTGTTATGTGTTCTATGCCAAAAGAATAGATGTATATTACAAGACGAAATGAACCCATCCTTTTTTCTTACTGTGACACCTTATTTCCACAGCACAAATGAAGCACATCAACCTGTCCTTTGCAGCTTGTGGCTTTCTGGGAATTTACCACTTGGGGGCAGCAGCTGCTTTTTACAGGCATGGTAAGAAGTTACTGACAGATGTGAAAGCTTTTGCGGGAGCTTCTGCGGGATCTCTGACTGCCGCTGTCTTGTTAGCAGTGCCAGAAAATATAGAGGTAAATTAGTAAACTCGTAGGTATAGGCCATGATAATTTTCAAAGGACTTTTTTTTATATAATCATCTTCAGTTAAGTTTATTAAAATATTGTTTGTTGTTTTTTTCTTCTTGCTATTTGCTAGGAACAGGACTCTTGTGTGTATTTTCATTAACCACATCTGTGACTTGTGGGCAAAAACATTTATGACAAAAATATTTCATATCAACTTTATATTTTAAGCTGCCTAAATAGAAATCTTATGTGTGTGAATGTTGAGTTGTCGGCAACCAAGTATACTTTAATATACCAAAATGTATATCTACTTAATGGTGGTGTATTACAAAGTGAATCATTCTTTTCTTGGCTAGAGATAGGCTTTGTTAAGCAAGTGCATAGCACCATCCTTTCATCCTTCTGTGAAAGGACATGAAAATGGTAGATGGAGTCTATCTTCATAAACACCACACACCTGCTCAGTTTTTTTCCTTGCTGCCTGTGCTCCATTAGACAGCATAAAAAGTGGCTTGTGCATCTTCTTTAGACTCAGTACAGCCTACTCCTCACCAGCAGTAGCCCCCACTGTTTTCCTGGGGGGATTAACCCTCGCAGCATTCTGTTCTCACACACTGCATGCATGTGTCTGGGTTGTTTCTCCTCCAGAGATGCCACTCCTTTCTCACTGTGCACATGGTCTCACATAGAGATGCCAGTTTTATTTAATGACTGCACTGTTACAGGTTCTGTGGGAGAGCATAACTTTTTTTTTGCTTTTTGTTTGATTTTTCCCCAGAGGTTAAGGTTGCTTTGCCCTT